TATGCACCCTTACTGGGAATCGAGCCCACAACCTTTTGGTGCATGGGATGACCTTCTAGTCAACTGAGCAACCCGGCCAGGGCTGGCACTGCTTTTTGATGAAATGTCTGTTCAAGTATTTTGCATATTTTTAATTGAATGATTTGGTTTCTTACTGTTGAGTTTTGAAAGTTCTTGACATGTTCTGGATACAAATCCATTGTTGGATATGTGATTTGTAAATACAAGGTGCGGCAAAAGTAGGTTTACAGTTCGTATGAAAATAATACAATAATTAATAAATAATACAAGAATAAACTATTTCACGTACTCACAACTGTAAACCTACTTTTGCCCCACCCTGTATTTTGTCTTATTCTGTAGCTTTTTAAAAAATAGCTTTTTTTATATCCTCCCCCAAGGACATTTTGTATTTATCTTCAGATAGAGTGGAAGGGAAAGAGGGAGGAAGAGAGAGAGAGAGAAATATCAATGTGAGAGAGACACATCGAGTGGCTGCCACCCACACAACCCCAACTGGGGCTGGGGACAAACTGCAACCGAGGTACGTGCCCTTAGCAGGAACCAAACCCAGGACTCTCTGGTCTGCGGGCTGATGCTGTAACCGCTGAGCCAAACTGGCCAGGGTTAAAAATAGCTTTTTAACAGAGCCTTTGCAGATCATGATTTTCATTTTGATGAGGGTGAATTTTTCTTATACAGATCATGCTTTTGGTGTCAAGTTTGAGAACTCTGCTTAGCTAATGTGGATTCTGAAAATTTTCTCCTGTTTTCTAAAAGTTATCTAGTTTGTTTGTTTGTTTGTTTGTTTATATTTTAATTATTTGTTTTTGTTACAGATGTTTCTCCTTTTCCCCCCACTGATTCCCCCCTCCCCCTCCCTCCCCGCCCTGTTCCCAGCCTTGTTGTCCATGTCCATTGTTCATGCATACATGCATATAAGTTCTGTGGTTTATCTCTCCCCCACCACCCCCTCTTCTGGGGATTGTTAGTCTGTACCCCACTTCCACATCTCTGGGACTACCCTATTCCTCAGACTGTTATGTTCATTATATTCCACAAATAAGTGAGATCATATGATACTTGTCTTTCTCTGTTTGGCTTGATTCGCTTAGGTTGACACTTTCCAGGTCCCTCCATGTCATCTCAAAGGATAAGAGATCTTTCTTTCTTACAGCTGCATAGTACTCCACTGTGTATATGGGGGTACATATATTCTTTCTGATTGGTGTTTCAGGCTTCTTAGGGTATATTCCTAGAAGTGGGATCACTGGGTCAAATGGAAGTTGAATTTTTAATTTTTTAAGGTAACTCCATATTGTTTTCCATAGTGGCTGCACCAGTTTGCATTCCCACCTGCAGTGTACTAGAGTCCCCTTTTCTCCACACCCTCGCCAACACTTGTTGTTTGATGAAAGTTTTATAGTTTTATATTTAAGTTCAGATCCATTTTAGTTAACTTTTGTGTAAGATGTGAGACTTAGGTTGAGGTTCTTTTTTTTTCTTTTATCCTCACCCGAGGATATTTTTCCATTTTTTGTTCAGATAGAGTGGGAGGGAGAGAGAGGAAGAGAGAGAGAGTGAAACATCAATGTAAAAGGGACACATCAAGTGGCTGCCACCAGCATGACCAACCAGAGACGGGGACAATCTGCAATTGAGGTACGCACCCTTAGCGGGAACCGAACCCGGGTCTCTCTGGACAGCAGGCTGACGTTCTAACTGCTGAGCCAAACCGACCAAGGCAAGTTCTTATTTTTTTTAACTATTACTCCAGTACCATTTACTGAAAAAGCTATCTTTCCTCCATTAAATTACTTTTCTACCTTTGTCAAAAATGTGTTGGGCATATTTGTGTGGGAGTATACATGTTGTGGCAGGCAGAGTAATAGGCCCCCAAAGATATCTATACCCTAAATTCTGGAACCTGTTGATATATTAGATTATATGGCAGAGGAAAATTAAGGTTGCTAATCAGCTGACTTTAAAATAGGGACATTATCCTGGATTATCCAGGTGAGCCTGATATAATCACAAGGGTCCATAAAAGTGAAAGAGGGGAGGCAGAAGGATCAGAGAATGAGATGTGGTGATAAAAGCAGGGTCAAATAGATACAGTGTTGCTAGTTTTGAAGGTTAAGGATGATGATCAGGATCCAAGGAATGTGAGTGGCCCCTAGAGGATGGAAAGGCAAGACAACAAACAGATCCTCTCCTAAAGTCTCCAGAGAGGAATGCAGCCCTGCCAACATCTTGATTTTAGCCCAGTAATACCTGTATCAGAATTCTGACCCACTGAATTATAAGATAATAAATTTGTGTAGTTTTAAGCCACTGAGTTTGTGGTAATTTGTTACTGCAACAATACTAATAAATAGATATTTTAGAAAAGCTCACAGTAATAATAGGATTTTAGATATTGAGGCATACCATTTATATGGAAAGTTTACATATACAGAGCATCCCAACTATATCAGACAAATGAAGTTCTACTCTAGGTAGATTTGTACATTCAATAGGGAATAATTAGGAAATATATATTACTTTTTGTTTAATTTTCTACACTCATTGTGACTTCTGAGGGATAAAAGTGTTTTAATTATTGAAATACATTGGTAAATTGAGTAATTTACATGGCAATACTAAGTGGATACACATGGTCATTATCAAATTTAAAACTTTCCAAATATCTCACTAACCGTCTGTTACAAGTCCTTGAAATAGAATTAACATGATGTGATTCTGTGATCACTCAAAGGTAGAATAGGGGATTCAATGGCTCTGAAGTTTTTGTAGTTACAGAGCCTTGGACTAAAGACAATAGAAAGTTAATCAAAATGTATATGTGGCATTCTAGTTTCAATGGTTTATTTTTAAATATTGCAATGTTCCTAATAAAGGAAATTCTATGACATTTGAATAGAGCTGAAAACCAAATAGTAAGAAAGGGAAAGAGATAACAGTAAGAATCAAACAATTCTACAGCAAAAAATTAATGTGAGGTAGAAATAGTAAAAGGTGGTGTGTCTCAGTGGTTGGGCGTCGACCCATGCACCAAGAGGTTACCATTTTGATTCCTGGTCAAGACACATTGCCCACATCGTGGACCAAATTCCCAGTGTGGGGCATGCAAGAAGCAGCCATTCAATGTTCTCTCACACCGATGTTTCTGTCTCCTCTTCTTTTCCTCTCTCTAAAATCGATAAAGGAAAAAAAATTTTTTTTATCCTCACCCGAGGACATTTTTCCATTTTTTGTTCAGACAGAGTGGGAGGGAGAGAGAGGAAGGGGGGGGGGGGACACATCGAGTGGCTGCCACCCACATGACCCAACCAGGGCTGGGGACAAACTGCAACCGAGGCATGCGCCATTAGTGGGCACCAGACCTGGTTTTCTCTGGACCGCAGGCCGAGGCTTTAACTGCTGAGCCAAACCGGCCAGGGTGAAAAAATATTTTTTTAATTAATAAAAAGAAATAGTGCCCTGGCCGGTTTGGCTCAGCGGTTGGTGCGTCGGCCTGCGGTACAGAGAGACCCGGGTTCGGTTCCCGCTAAGGGCACGTATCTCGGTTGCAGTTTGTCCCCGGCCCTGGTTGGTCGTGCCGGTGGCAGCCACTTGATGTGTCCCTTCACATCGATGTTTCTCAAATATATTACTTTAGGTTATTCATTTATAGTGCCTTATTTTCTTGTTACAAATAAGACAAGGATTTTGTTATATAAAATCTATCAAAAAAGTATTACTGAAAAGATACTGTCTTCATGAACTGTGATGAATGGCCAGGGTGAAAATGCTACTGGAGCAGAGTACGCTGGCTGGGCATCAACAGTTTGTCATTTGTCTTTTCATAGATGGACTACAGAAAGTTTCATATATGAATGTATTGTTTAACCATTCCTCTCTACTACCACATCATTTAGTATTGCACTCATGGTTTTAACTATAGACTTAAGAATTTGGGGGAGTTTAGGAGGGCAGGTGACTGTTTAGACTTTATTGGAAATGTCTGTGCACGTTAAAATGTCCCATGGAGCAAAATACCTTCTAAATCTTGATGAGCAGCTTCTTGATTATTGAGTCATGATATTTTCTTCTGATTTTTTCTAACAGTCTTTGTTTGAGTGGATACCATATTGACAGTTCCAGATGGGAGACCAACGTACACTTCTCCATAGTTTCTTCTCTTGTCACTTCTGTTATCAATTCTTCTGTTCTTGACCATATCACCTCTTCTCCTTTCCCGTGGTGACTATCCACTGCCTCATTCATTGTGACTTGAAGTTACACGTTTTTGTTTTTTTAATTACACATTACTTTTCTTTTTTCCCCTCACTGGAGGACATTTTTCCATTTTTTTGTTCAGATAGAGTGGGAGGGAGAGAGAGGAAGAGAGAAACATCAACATGAAAGAGACACATCAAGTGGCTGCCACTCGCATAACCAACCAGGGCCAGGGACAAACTGCAACCGAGATATACGCCCTTAGCGGGCACCGAACCCAGGTCTCTCTGGACCGCAGGCCAATGCTCTAATAACCACTGAGCCAAACCCAGGGCCACATTACTCTTTGATAAAAGTCTTTTGTTGTTGTTTGCATTTCAGAAGAGCGTTTGAATATCGTTAAGTTTTGTGCTAAGGAGCCAGATATAGCCCCAAAAATTTATGTGATTGGAGGGTAACATTTTATTTAAAACAATATTCTTAATTTTGTAATGTATACAAACATTTTTTTCAATTTGGTTCCTCTGACAGGATACAGGATAAATACTCAGTTTGCTTGAGTTTTATTTTTTTATTTTTTTATCCTCACCCGAGGACATTTTTCCATTTTTTGTTCAGATAGAGTGGGAGGGAGAGAGAGAGAGAGAGAGAAGCATCGACGTGAAAGGGACACATCAAGTGGCTGCTTCCCTCATGCACTACCTAACCAGGGCCGGGGACAAACTGCAACTGAGGCACGTGCCCTTAACGGAAACTGAACCTGGGTCTCTCTGGACTGCAGGCCAATGCTCTAACCGCTGAGCCAAACCAGTCAGGGTAGTTTGCTTGAGTTTTAAAAGGATGTTTCCTTTGCCCCATTTGAGTGACTAATGAAAACCTAAGTCCAATTGGCAAAGTGAAAAGGGGGTATACAGATACTGAATCATTACGTTGTACACCTGAAACTAATATAGTGTCATATGTTACATCTTAGTTTTTTCCTGTTTCAATTATCTTTTTTTTAAAATTAAATTTACTAGGGTGACATTTATTAATAAAATTATATAGGTTTTAAGTGTACAGTTCTGTAATACATCATCTGTATATTGTATTATGTGTTTACCACCCAACATCAAATGTCCTTCTGCCACCATATATTTGACCTCCTTTACCCAATATTTGATTGACTTTAACAGTAGGACAAATAGACCTTTGATTAATGATATTTTTTTTAAAAATTTTCTTTATTGAGTTTTAGAGAGAGAGGAAGGGAGGGGAGAGAGAGGTAGAAACATCAATGAGAGAGAACATCGATTGGCCGCCTCCTGCATGACCCCCACTGGGGATTGGGCCCACACCTTGGCATATGCCCTGACCTGGAATTGAACAGGCAACCTCTTGGTGGGTCGACGCTCAACCACTGAGCAACACCAGCTGGGCTGATTAATGATTTTGATACTTGTACTAATCCTATTAGTTTTTTAGATAGCTTTATTGAGATTTAATCTACATACCATATATTTCACCCATCTAAAGCGTACAGTTCCGTGATTCTTAATATATTCACCATGTGAAAACATGTAGAGTACTTTGAGCATCTTAATCTCATTGCCTTCTGACTTCTATTGTTTCTGATGCGAAGTTAGCTGTTAATCTTATTGGGGTTCCAGGATATGTAAGGAGTCACTTTTCCCTTACTACTTTCAAGATTTTCTCCTTCTCTGGCTTTCAGCAATTTTACCATAATGCATCTGTGGATCTCTTTGCAGGGTGGAGGTGGTGGTGGTGGTGGTGGTGGTAGTGATGGTGGTAGTGGTAGTAGTAGTAGTAAAGTATAAACTACTTGGAGTTTGTCAAGCTTCCTGGGTGTGTAAATTAATATTTTTCAATAAATTTGGGAATGTTCTAGCCATTATTTTTTCTGCTGGTTTTTCTCCTTTCCTTCTGGTACTCCCATTACATATATGTTGGTGCACTTAACAGTATCTCACGTTTCTGTGAAGCTTTGTTCATCGTTCTTTATTTTTTTTCCTCTCTGTTCTTTAGCTTGCATAATCTGTATTGGTCTATTTCAAGTTCACTAATTCTTTCTTCTGCCATTTCAAATCTACTGTTCAATCTCTTGAGTGAGTTTTTTATTTTATTTATTATATTTTTAATACCAGACTTACCAGTGGGTTCTTTTTAATATTTGCTATCTCTTTATTAATATCCTTACCTTCTTTTACTTCTTTAATCATGGTTTTATTTAGTTCTCTGAACGTATTTATTTATATGGCTAATTTGAAGTCTTTGCCTATTAAATCTGACATCTGGTTGTTCTCACAAGCAGTTTCTGTCACTTGCTTTTTTGCTAGTGTATACGTCATGCTTTTCTATTTGCATGTTTCATATTTTTTGTTGGAAACTGGGCATTTATTTTAGATAATATAATGTAACAACTCTGCGTACTGGCACCCTCACTCTGGGTTCTTTATTGTTATTTCCTTCTTTACTTTAGTGACTGTCTAGATAATTTTTTAAATTAATTAATTTATTCATTTTTGTTACAGATGTTTCTCCTTTTCCCCCCATTTACACCCTCCTCCCCCTCCCTGCCCACCCCATCCTCAGCCTTGTTGTCCATGTCTGTCTAGATGATTTTATTGACGTCTGTTTATTTTCCCCCCTTTTGCCTTGCAGTGTGAAGTCTTGATGTTGCTTCTTTGGGGTGCAGCCTTTGGTATGCCGCCTTTGGTATGCCACAGTCACCCTGGGATGATAGTGGTTTTGGCAGGGCTCTTTTTGTCTCTTTCCCTGACCACACTCAGCTATTAAGTTTCCACTAATTTCTGGTAGAATACTCTGTTGTTTTTAATAACACCCTGGGGCATAAAATGCTCCACACACTGATCCATTCAAATTAGGGCTCCTTTGAAGGGATAGTTCCCAAGATCAGTATTTGAGATTTCTTCTGAACCCAAAATGGTTCCTCCCAGCTATCTATTTCCCTAATTCTCTCTAGCATGATCTCTGAGCCACAGCTCTAGTATAGAGGGTGGGGACAATGAGTGTCATCCCCAAGTCTCCTGGGTGTGCCTCTGCTGATGTAGAACCCCTACTTCACAAGCTGGGGCCGGGGCATTTGGGGCATCCGTGTTCTTAGTGGCACCATACCCAAGACATAGCCTCCATCCCAGGAGTGGGGTCTACCTGGAAGAAGGTAGCCCTCACCTCTCAGCCACACTTTTCTGGAACTTAGCCTCAGCAACATGTAGCTGGGGACAGGATGAGAAACTCTGATGTCCTGTCCCTCCCAGGGAAAAAAAAAAAAGCCTTGTAGCTGGGAGCTGGGGCAGAGAGTGCTCTGTGTTCATGGCTGTACCAGTCTGGTGTGACTAACATCTGTGCTGGGATGGAGGATGAAGAGAGTGGGTCTAGGCTCAAATACTATAGACTCTTACTTTACCTACTGAGTTTTAGTAGGTTTTGTTTAATAAATGCTTCTTCATTTGCTATTTGACCTTAGGACCATTTTCAGAGATTTTAAATGAGTGGTCTTTTGTTTCTTTTTAAACTAATTTTCACCATTTTTACTGAGGAGTGGGTCTATGTAGCGCTTCACATTGTCATGCCAGGAATGGAACTCTATTACCTTTTTAACATGCAGTCTTGTTTCTTTTACTCCTAATTGCTCACAGTGGCCTTGTGAGCAATCTGTCTCCTTAGTAGATTGTAAGTGGCTCAAAGGCAGTAGCCATGACCGTTATCCTTTGTGGAATCATGATTGGCCCTAGTAGCATTTTGTATACTGTGGCACATACAGAATGTCGGTTACTGAGTGTATCACTGTCTTTTCTAGTTTATATTTTGAACACTTCCTTTGTGACTTGAAGTATCTGTGCCCTTCTTTTTTCCTACACTCTAATGCTGGAGTGTTCCCAGAAAGGTGAGCCTCTTTTTTATCTGCCATTGACTGCGCGCGCACACACACAGAAAGACGCTTGACCCATTTGAAGCTTTAGTCAAAAAAGCATTATGTATTTTGACAGTATAGGAGCTTTCTATAATATTCCTTGCAGTGTATATATAGATGTAATTTTTCATTTGACTAGTTTGGGGCATGGGGACAGAGTTAAAGTGGGAAACAGGGAGTAAGGGCAGGCAGAAAAGCAGTGTGGTTGTGCTCTTCAAGGTCGTACATGCCTCACTTATTCTTTCTTCAGCCAACCATGTCTCATGCCTTTCAACTTTGGCCCTTGACAGTTCTGCCTTTGTTACTACTTTTGCCTTTCCTGCTCCTCCCTGGCTGGTGAGGGCCCCATGCCTTGCCTCCTTTGTTTGGGTGGACGTTGGTCATGTGGCCAGATCTGAAACTCCAGCCAATCCTGTATTATTCATTCTCTGCTGCATGGACTTCCTTCTAAGTTTCACCCAGTCTTTGGCACACTCCATATTGGAGAACTTGGTGGTATTCTTCTCTCATCATTCTAGATCATTTGAGAATATTCTTGACAGAAATCATTTGATTTGTATGATTGGCCAGCTCCTGCTTCTTGGGATCTGTAGGAAAGTGTTGACTATCCTCGGTGTGGGGGGATGGTGTGGGAGGGTGTATGTGTGTGCTGACTGTTTCATTCAGTGTTGTTCTCTTTCCCAGGATGCTCCAAAATGAAACGTCATAGAACGTTCAGCAGCAGTGACAGTTCAGATGAGAGTGAGTAGAACCAGCCAACAGCTGGTAACCTCTGTATCTATACTCCTTAAGGATTTCTTCTTTGACTTGAGGACAAGCTGTTTCATTCTTCCTGCAATGGTTAAAAAATGATATTTTTAGGAAAGAAAGCTTAGGATACCATGTTTCTTATTTAAATTTCATTAGAAATTGGTAAGTTAGGTGGGAAAATTGGTTTTGTATGGCATATAGCATTTGTTTTTCACTTACCTAAACAATAAATGTGAAATCTAATAGTGATTTAACAGTGCTTTTCTAGAAAGGAAGAAAAGTACGAGAGCATAAACTATAGGCCCTACAATTCTAATTGTAACTCAGGCACTGAATGTTTGACTGGATGAGTCATTTGTAAAAAGTAACAACCTTATTAACAATAGCATTTGGGGAAGTGCTAAAGGATATATACAGATTACTTGTTCTACATCTTTAGTTTTTCCAGTTGCTTTTGCAGATACTTTTTCTCCAGGTGGAACATGAATCATGTTATTCCACAGTGTTATGAGGTATGATAACACCAAGTCAAATCTCTTCAGCATTAGCATTGTTGAAGCTTTTGCATGCTGGTAGGTCACCTATAAATGTTGTTAAACTCCATTATGAGGCTTTCTTGGTTGTAATTTAACTTTCTTTAGTGTTATGTATGAGATCACTGTGTTCTTCTCCATCATATCTTTCATATTTTCTTGGATGACTTTTAGTTATATGACATTTAGTTGCATTAGCAGGTAATAAGTCTCAGTATTTTTTTCTAATTATCTTTTGCAGGTCCTTCCACTTCCCTTACTGGCTCAATGTATAGGAACAAGTCAAAAATTCCAAATGAACACAAGAAATCTGCTGAGGTGAGATCAGATATTTCAACCTTTAGACTTAAAAAAACAGACAGCTGCCTTCTGCCTACATATATCTATAATACCCAGATCTTAAAAATGTGAGGAGTAAACTATGTGCCAATGGATAGGCTTGTTTCTGATGAGTTTTTTTCTTTTTCAAGAAACATTCCATTTTCTTTTCTCTTTGGGAAAACAGTAATCACACTATGATTTCATTTTGGCAATTATACTTAAATGCCTAGCTTTAGAATATAAAGCCTTCCCTTAGCCAGAAAAGTCAAAGTGAGCTAGACTTGAGTCTTACATAACATAACATAATCATGGGAAATGACATCCCATCATATTTGCTATATTCTGTTGGTTAGAAGCAAGTCACGGGTTCTACCTGCCTCCACATGGGGGAGTGGGAGGCATTGCTTTAAAGTGTCATCCAAAGTAAGCATATCTCTCTCCCTTTCTCAGAGGTCACTTATCATTCCCATCTTTTGCTAGGGATCCTTCTGGCCTCAGCAGAATATCAGAATGTATTTATATGTGTCTGTCATACAGAAAAACTTATGGAATAAAATGCACAAAAATAGGAGCAAAACAAATTTTTTGTCTATCCAAAGGAGGTCTTGACTATAGAATGGTGAGAAAGAAACCTTGCTACTTTCCTATTTAGGACAGCCAGTCCTAGAACACAAAGTGACTCAAGAGCTTTGGTTCTTAAGACCTATTGCCGCTAGGTCAATGAAAATATCAGTCTTTTGTTGCAAGAGATAAGGGGAGCTGAGTGCCTGAAAGCAAATTTTTTCATTTATATTTTACATGCTGTTATAAAAGAGACAAACTGATATTGTAGAACAGTATAGAAACCTTACCAGCATTTAGGTTCATTTACCTCCCTCCCCCCCCACACACACATACACACATACCTTTATTATATAATTGTCCTAAATATTTTCTGTACATACATTGAGAGCTACATTAGACAATATTAGAATATTTGCTTCAACCATCAAACATTATTTATAAAACTCAAGAGGAGGACAGTCTATTATTTTATTCCTGGTGTTCTAACTTTCTTTTTGTTCATTTACCTTCCTTTGAAGAACTTCCTGTAGCCATTCTTTTGGGGTAAGTCTTCTAGTGATAAATTCTTTTAGTTTTCCTTTATTTGAGAATGTCTTGGTTTCACCTCCATTCCTGAAGGATATTTTCACTTGACATAGAATTCTACTTTGACAACACTTTTCTTTCAGCACTTGAGAAATCTGCTGTCATTGAAATAGTTGCTCCCTTGTAGGTAATCAGTCATGTCTTTTTCCACTTGCTTTCAAGATTTGTCTTTGTCTTTTGTTTTCCCAAGTTAGATTGTGATGTGCCTGGGCATGGATTTATTTTATTTTATCCTGTTTGGGGTTTGATCAGCTTCTTAAATCTAAGTTTATATCTTATGTAAAGTTTGGGAAATTTTCAGCCATTGTTTCTTCAACTATTTTTTCAGCTTCGCCTTCTTCTCCTCTTCTTGGTACTGCAATTTCATGAATGTTAGCTCTTACATTATTTTCCTACAGGTCTCTTCCATTTTTTCCAATGTATATTCTTTCTGTTGATCAGATTGGGTAAATTTTTCTTGTTCCTTTATTATTTATTCTGTTAATTCCATTCTTCTATTGTGCCTGTCCCCTGAGTTTATTTCAATTATTGTATTATCGAAATTTTCATTTGGTTATTCTTTATATCTTCTGTGTCTTTGCTGAAACTTTCAAAATTGTTGTCAGATAATTCTAACATCTGTGTCATCTTGCTGTTATTGTCTATTGTCTCTTCTCATTCCTAGTTCTTAGTATGAGTGATTTTGCATTGTATCCTAGACTATTTGGCATTATGTTATCCATCACTAAGTCTTACTTAAATCTGTTTTATCAGGCCCCCACATTAACCAGGCCAGTGGGGAAGAGGGACACTCGTTACCACCAGTTGCAGAATTCCTAGGCTGTTATCCTAGTTCTGTTATCTCTCCAAGAAAATCTGTTATCGCTCTGGAAAGAGGGAGGAGTTACTCATTGCTCTCCTTACTACTTGATGATGTGGAAATCCCCCCTCCCCCTTGTTGCCTCCCTGATAGGAGGGGGAGTGGTGGTGGTAAGGGATACACATTACTGATAGCCTATAATGACATTCCAGGCTCTCTACCCAGTCTCTGCTGATACCACATTGAGGAAGAGAGGCACCATGTTATTACTGGATAGGAGTGGACATCAAGGCTTCTCAGGTGATGTGCACTGACGCCAGAACAATCTCTTTTTTATTTAGCTCCTTCTTTTTGTTTTTCTTATCCTCAACCAGGAACATTTTTCCATTTTTTGTTCAGAAAGAGTGGGAAGGAGAGAGAGGAAGAGAGAGAGAGAGAGAGAAACATTGACATGAAAGGGACACATCGAGTGGCTGCCACCCACACGACCAACCAGGGCTGGGGACAAACTGCAACCGAGGTACGTGCCCTTAGCAGGAACCGAACCCGGGTCTCTCTGGACCGCAGGCTGACGCTCTAACCGCTGAGCCAAACCGGCCAGGGCAACAATCTCTTTCTTTTTTGTTTTTTATCCTCACCCGAGGACATTTTTCCATTTTTTGTACAGATAGAGTGGGAGGGAGAGAGAGAGAGAAACATCGACGTGAAGGGACACATCGAGTGGCTGCCACCCGCACGGCCAACCAGGGCCGGGGACAAACTGCAACCGAAGTATGTGCCCTTAGCGGGAACCGAACCCGGGTCTCTCTGGACCGTAGGCCGACGCTCTAACCGCTGAGCCAAACTGGCCAGGGCAACAATCTCTTTCTTAAATAAAACATTTTAAACATATTTTTTGAAATATAATCCTCACACCATACAATTTATGCCTTTAAAGTATATAATTCAGTGGGTTTTAGCATATTCACAGAATTACATAACCATTACCACAGTCTAAATTTAGAACCTTTTCATCATCCCAGAAAGAAACCCTTTTACCCATTAGCAGTTATTCCTCAATCCCCCTACTCCCAGCCCTTGCAAACCACTAATCTAATTTCTGTTTCTATGGATTTGCCTATTCTGTATATTTCATATAAATGAAATCATAATATATAGCCTCTCGTGTCTGGCTTCTTTCACTTAGCACAACATTTTTGACGTTCATCCATGTTTTAGCATGTATTAGTACTTAATCGTTTTATGAGTGAATGATATTCCATTGTATGGATATACCACATTTTGTTTATCCATTCATTTATGAACAATTGGGTTGTCTCTGTTTTTAGAGTATTATGAATAATGCTGCTGTGAACATTCCATGTACATGTTTTTATGTGGACATTACGTTTTCAGTTGTCTTGAGTAACACCTAGGTGTGGAATATGGTAACGGGGTCAATATGGTAATTCTATTTAACCATATAAGGGAATGCCAGACTTTTTTCCAAAGAGGCTTCATCAGTTTACACTCCCACCAGCAGTGTATGAGGGTGTTTGAGATTTGTTATTGCTGTGGGTACCAGAGACTTTGAATTCCTCTAGTGACCTTGGCTTAGAGTCTTCCCTTTGTGCTTGTCCTCAGAGATTTTTTTTTTTTTTGCAGCTCTCCTAGCTATAAACCACTATTATTATCACTGGAAGCATTAGCATGGTGGTGTAGGGTATAGGGGAGGCATGATGTTTTCTGATCTTCTGATATGTCTTAGTGTTTGGGTGGCATAGTGACCCTGAGTCTGGGGGTGCAATGGGGGAAGTGGATTTAAGAGGTAGGGCTTTTTGCCCCTTCCCCATTTTCCCTACTGGTGTTCTCTATGTCTTTGAGGTTCTTCCTCCTTAAGGCTTTCTTCTCCCTTAGATAACACAGGGAGGCTGAGGCTGGATGCTTTTACTCACCATCCCCCAACCCCCCAGCACTAATGAAATTATACCAGTGCCTTCACTTGATATCCTTCCCCTGAAGATGAAATCTTTTGTTCAGTAAAGGAGCCAGGACATTGAGAACCAGGGGTCCAGACAGCACCACTAGGGGAGCTTTTCTCCAGGTTTTCCCCCATCTTCCCTATGAGAGCCTGAGTTGGGTGTGTAGACAAGCTTACAAGAGGGTGAGAATCCCCTATGAGTACAGCCCCCCAGGAACTTGATACTCTCATAGTAGTCCCTATTTAGCTCCAGCAATTCATCAAAATTTCTAGTTTAATGTTCCTACTGTGGCTTCTGTCTCAGGTAAACAAATGCTCCTGTCCTGTGTCTCCCTGCAGGCGTGCCGTCTCTCTTTCAGTTGGTCATTTAACTCATCTCTCTAATGGGTTCACCAAAAAAAAAAAAAAAAGTTAATTTGCTGCCTGCCTGCCTGCCTTCTTCCTATAAGGATGAGTTTCTTCTTTCTGACTCTCTACAAGTCCAAGATGAAACCTTATCTATTTACTGGGAGTTAGTCATTGAAATGCAATATAAATTATAACTTTTTCTAGGTCTTAAATGGTTGCATTAATAGATACATATTGTCTTTGATGTTTAGTGCTTTGGTGAGACTCCTGTACATGCCTCTCCCTGACTTATCCTCTAGAGAAGAGTTTCCTAGGGATGTGTATCCCATGTAGGGTTCAGGAGCTTCAGTACCTTCTGAAAATTATATCCAGACTTTTAAGGATATTTTTATCTGTTTGTTTGTTTGTTTTTCTGAGCTAGTAGTCTTCATCTGGTTCTCAAAAGGGTCTTAAAGATGTTTTTAAAAAACCAATTGCCCTGAAAAAAGCACATAGTACTAGATGACCAATTTGAATTTGTTTCTCAGAAGCCAGGGTATTTTTACCTATTAGTCTGACTGGTCTATAAAACATATCAACCTATTTTAAAGGACTGACTGTATATCATCTGTAGGCCCAGAGTCTCTTTTAACTCAGCAGAGAACACTGCATTACTCTCATATGGAGCCTGTTTACATCACTTTATCTGTTTTTCTAACAAGCTTGATTTTTTTTTTTTGGCCCTTAGCATATAAAAAGCAC